TTTTGCACTTGTAATTAAGTTTAAATATTTTACATAAGGGAATACAATTAGCCGCGTTTATTTTTCGAAAAATAAACGTTTTCCATCAGATTTAAATATTAAAATATTAAATTCAGGATGTTAAAATTAAGAACTAGTAGGTTTTGAGAATATTAGAACTCAGAAACAGAACTTTCACTAAGGATTTCTTAAGAACTATCGTGATTGAAAAAATTTCTTGAAACTTATTACTTAAGAACTTCCCGAGAAATTCAATTCAAAAAGGGTTTAGAACTAAATTTTGATTTTTCTAGAGAAATTAATATAAAGCTTACTGGTATCCTCAAAATTTAATGTTTAAAATTTTGTGTAATATTGTTTACTAAACTGGAAAATAAACTATGCGGTCGGTTATTTGCTGACCACATCACATATTTCTTTCACTTTTTCCATACCACCTAAATTTAATAAAGTATGAGAAAGTGTTAAATGGTAACAAAGGCAAAACGAAAAAAAAATATGAAAACTTCTTTAATAATTTATTTTGTATGCTTTGGTATTTTAGTTTTTATGTACATTTTTATAAATTATGCATATACATATGTACATATATAATATTCATTTTAATATAATTACATACATATAAATACCTATACATTTATATTAATATTTTGTAAGAATTAAAAGAAAAACAAAATTATATTAAACTTTCATATTACATAATAAATTCTGTAATCATAGTTATAAAAGCAAATATATATACATACACGTATGCATATATGCATATATACATAGCATATTCCATATTTACAAATATGTACCTACACATATTCACATATTTTATATATGAAATTATGTACCAAGAAAAATTGCAAAATTCTCTATTCTTTACATATAATTTTCGTATAGTTAAAGACATTATTTAAGCACAGGCATGTTATTCTCTATACTTGTAAAATATGTATGAAAATAATAATAATAATAATAATAATAATAACAGTAATAGTAAAAGTAACAATAAACAAAAGTCAAAAAAAGGGTTCAAGGTCTAACTGTTTATTATAATTTTCTAAATAAATACAAACATAGTATAAATATATTTATACTATGTATATAGTTTCTTATAAATATAATGTTCATTTATGGTTATGAGTTAAACAAACACATACAAACGAATTTTCATCTTACTTTGTAACTTTAAATTAATAGAAAAATGAATATGAAAAAGAAAGACTGAAAAATTTGTTTGTTTTTTTTTTTTAATTTTTTTTTTTTTTGTTTAACTCAAATAAGTTGTTACCTTTTTTAGTCTATTTTAAAACCAAACAAAATGGTAAAGACACATTATTATTATATTCTAGCTAAATTTGAATGGTTTTATTTATATAGGCATAGATGGTCTAATGCGGGTTGGTACATTTGTGAAAAATTTTTGTCATATGTTTTTAAAACATTGTTATACGCTCGGCTTTAAAAAAAATCTCTTAAAATTTCTAAAAATCTGATAGAAAATATTACAAAAGTACTGGGGAATTTAAAGAATGAACCTCAGAATGTATGGAGACCATGCAAGAAGCTGCATTGCGTGCTTTTAAACTAAAAACAAATCTCATAGATATACGACATTTTTTACATTTTGCTTGATTTTTCGAAATCATTTAGCTTTAGCATTGTTGCTTGAGGAAGCACATCGATACTGTATGCAAAAGTAAAATCTCACATATTTTTATAAATCATACAAAATAGCATAGAATTGCAGCGTTATTCTTAAGTATTATACGTATCATTCATTGAAACACAAATATCGATCAAATCGCTAAAAATCTAATGAAATCTATGAAACCAATCGAAGAAACGCAGTTTTTCAAAAGTTATTTTAATTAATAATGCGTGTTTCCAATAAGAAATCACCACTACAAAACTCTTTTTCAATATCTCATTATTCAGCAACCGATTATTCTTCTCAACACAGACGTCATGCTTACAAATTTATTCTTTAGTGCAGATATAGCAATTTCTATTTTATGTACCATTAAAATACCGATTTTTAGCATCCCTGATTCCCTAGAATTATTACCATACACAATAAAGAAAATAAATTTAAAAGGTATAATTTTTTTTTTTTTATGATTTTTCTTTTTCGCTCAATATAAATTATTAATAAAGCAAAAAACAATAAAATTAGAAAAGTTTTTAAATATTCCATAAGAGCACATTAAATTTGACTGGTATATGTTAACAATACAGTTAACAAGTTTATATTGCCTTTTAGTAGATGATGGTTATAAATACAAGGTTATATAAAATAAAAATATAGGATGATATTATGAAAATTTATAATTAAAAATATTGTTATTTTTAGAAATTGTAGTTTTAATCGAAAATTAAGGTATAACTATTAGCTTAAATAATTTTTGTAAATTATTATTCATATATTATAAGGCTGATCACTTGGCTAGTTAAAATTCAAGTAACTTACGAAACTAAGACGTGGCTCTCTATGTTATCATGCAACACCCACCCCCATATTCGTCTTTGGGTTGAAAAAGAGTTTTGTAACCCATTTATGTATATTTTATAATATACATAATAAAGCTGTATCAATTAATTCCAACAAAATGAACTTTAACATCTGAAATGGTCACAGTATCCTAAAAACTGTTAAAAAATGCAATCTAAATTATTGAATAGGAACACAATAACTTAGAAGATTTCTAGAACTCTGAACTTCGAGAATATTAAACAAGTTTTAATTGCCTACATTTTATTGAATCACCTTATATTTTAATTTTATGTTAAAAAGCATTTCTTTTCATTTTATTTGATATATGAACATAAAATTTAGCAAAAAAAAAAAAAATATTATATAAAGAAAAACCCTTAAACATTAAAAAATATAAAAGTTTAGCAAAATAAAATATTTCAAGGTTTAATAATTTTAACACAATATAAATTTATTTTTATAACAATATTTTGCAAAATTTTCACTTTTCTAAGTTTCAAATATTTTTTTTTTTTGAAACCCTATCTACATATACCCATTTGTATATACGAGTACCTAAATAATGTTCATTCTTACATTGTATGTTTTATGTTTTATTATTATACTCGTATATATATTAAAAAATTTTGTTAACTTATATTATATTTCAAAAATTGAGCAAAGGGGACCTTAAATTATTTTAAGAAAAATAATATTCAAGCATATTATAATTATATAACATTTAATTTAATTTTTTTTCAACACGAATGCAATTTAACACTGTTATTATTATTAATCTTTAAAAAAGTTCTATTCAAGTTAAATTTAATTTATTAACTAATAATAATAATTAATTTTACTTAAAATAAATTCTTTCAGGCATAATAATGATTACAACCCAAGGGTATAATAATTATTATGATTTTGATAAGGTTGATCTATACCTTAAATACTATAAATTTTATAAATAAAGCAAATTTAATGAATGATATAATTAAATTCAAAAGATAAAATACTACAATTTTTTAGCTATACGTACATTTTTAAACGAGCAAAATTTTTAGCTCTTTCCAAACGGAATTACGAGCTAATATTAAATTTTCGCCGCCTTGAACATCCAAAACTGCATGCTTTCTAAAATTTTTTTAAAAACAAAAAGGTTAATGCTAAATATTTTGGTAACAAAAAGTATTTGCAATAATTTTAACTCACTCAGTTAACAATCGACTTCGATCAATATGATAACTTTTCTATTAATTTTTGTTCTCCCCTAGAAGTATGCAATATTTTCTTTTTGCATAAAATAATTTTTATATGTATATTAAATATATAATGTAGCTGACTTTGAATAAATTAAATTTATACTAGCTATTATGCTATAATTAATTTAATACTACTATTGTGAAGAATATAATTCCAAAATTTTTGATATTATATTACATTATTAAATGTCCAATCCTCTAAAGATGTAGACGGTTCTTCTTTTTTTGTAAGCATTATATAGATTAACATTAATTATTAGCAATAGAAAATAATAGTAATGAAAATATTTTAAAGAAGTAAAGCAAAATGATCTCACCTCAATATGGTTATTAATAACTTATTTTAATCCGTTCAACGTTTTATTTCATTCAAAAAAACTCAAAATGCCTATTCTTCATAAGCCATCTAAAAAAAGTATAGTTTAATATATTATATAATTTTTTCAAAGTTTATTCGGAAATCAAAATATAAATTAGAAAATGTAGTTGAGTTCTAAGAAAATATTTTAAATTATTTCTTAGAATTTAATATTTTAAATCAGTATTTGATTTTCGAAGCAATATTAACAAAAATTTCTAAATTATAAATTTAAATAGAAAAAACTACAAATATGAGAAATTTATTAAAAATGTTCACATTTAAAATTTAATAGAATTTGTATCAAAGTAATAAATAATTAATTTTTATAATGAAATAATTTTTTTATTATAATATCAAAATATTTATTCATTTTTCATTCATTTGAAAAATTTATACAAGCTTTTTAAATGAATTTGTCACTAAGAATTTTAGTACGAATTTTTGTTCTTTTCACTAAATTAAAATTTACTTTTTAAAAATAATTTTATAAGCATATTTGAGAGTTATTTAACAAAATATTATCACAAAAATTTCAATTAATTTTTTGTAAAGAATAATTTTGTACTTTTTTTTAATTTAAATTTCATACTAATTTTTTATGTATTGTATTCAACATAATCTTACAAACTTAATGTTAAATTCAAAAAACCTACCATTTTCAACCTTAAACATACATTACAGATCTTATTCTTTTTATATCAAAAAATAACAAATTTCAATTGAACGAACACTCATACGCATACGCTTATTAAATTCAAATTTATATGTTCTTCGTCATTTTTACTTCGGAATTTTTCCCAAAAATTTTACAATCACGTTTCTATATTGTTATTGTCATAATTTCTTAACAAAAAAAAATTTTTTGCAATAAACTATATTCTTATTAATTTTCTTGTCTTTTTTTTTGCAATTACAGGTGAATCGAGTGCATCAGCTGTAACATCATCAGCAAATCAAGAAAAATATACCAGCTCTATTGTTGGCATTTTATTATCCTTGTTATTAATACTATTTAGGACATGACATGTTTTTTCTTATAATATTAATTATGATATTTTTATATAATTTAGGTTAACAAAATATTATTACATAATAAATATAAAAATAAAAAAAACAAAAAAAATACAATACATATACATATAAATTAATATTTAATATAAAAATACTATTTAATATATTAGTTTTAGATTAAATATACATCTACATATACATGCAATAATTTATTATAAATATTTATGTATTGTATATGTATATGTATATATATACAATTTATTATTATTATTAATATAGATTATATATACTTATCTAATATAAGTTAATTATTTTTTAAATTCACATTTCAAATACATATATACATATGTATGTATATGAAAATTAAAATTATATATATACATATGTATAAATTATATTATAATAATAAAAGTGTAATAGTATATGTATAATTAAGTGTATGTATAAATTTACGATTAAATATAATAATAAAAACAAAAATGAAGAAACAAAAATAAAAAAATTAACAAATGAATGAATGAATGAATTAAAAAAAAAAAAAACAAAAAAAAAACAAAAATATAAAATGTCAGCATAGTAAGTTATTAATTAGCTTTTAAACGTGGTTGTAAATATTAAATGAAATTAAAAAATAAATAAATTAAAATTGAATTAAAAAAAAAAAAACAAAAAGTCTTTAATTAAAATACACAAAAAATATATACAATATAAATGTTGCATTGTAATTCAAAAAACAAAAATAAAATAAAATTTTTAATAAATAAAATAAAATAAGAATAATTTAAAATTAATATTGAAAGTAGATCAAAGGAAATTTTAATTTTTTTTTTCTTTGAAATTTAAATTTAAAAAAAAAACACAACTCTGCCCCATTACAATTAAAAAATTCAATTAAAATTTGTAGTAAGTTGAAGACATTCTGACAGCTTCCTCTTTCAAAAACAATCTTAAACTATGGTATTTTCTGATTGACGCTCAGAGACACAATTACTTAAATAAATATGCCATATAAATACAATTAAATCTCTATGATATAAAGAACTGTTCATATAATCAGAACCTTTACTTTGTTATGCGTAGTATAATTATTGAAATTATACAAAACTGTCCTATATAGTAATATCCACTGCACAAAAGTTTCTCAAACAACAAATTAATATTATAGTAGAATAAAATTAAATCGATAATTCTTATGAAGAATATACTAACCGCCAAAATAAATAAACATTAGTTTTAGCATGGTTTATGGAGTCAACTCTAAGAAAACTAATCTTCAAATTTTGTTCAAAATATCTGAAAACAACCGCTCCTTCTTTTATTCTGCACAAGCTCTGAAATTGCTCCATAATATATTTGTTTTTTCAAAACAAAAAGAAATAAATTAAATTATATCATTAAAAAATGGCTAGCAATCAAAATATTCCATGTAATCAAACTTAATGGAACAACACCTTATTGAAATCGGGTAGGTATTGTATAGTCAAAACAAAAAAAATTTCCAAAAAATTTAATATAAAAATTATTTTTCAAAATCTTCAGGTATTACAAAATAATTGAAAATTGATCAAAAACCTGCCACCAATTTTACGGAATCAAAAACTAAATAAGTAAGTTATTAAAATATATAAATAAAATTTTATACATAAATATTACAAATTAAAATCTGTTCATTTCAAAATTTATATTTTGTAATAATTTTATTTATAAATTGTATAATAACTAAATTTCCATATTATTTTAAAAGATAAACCTTTCCGTCCTCTTGTAAAAGTTTTGTTTTATAATTAAAATCCATTAAGATGAAAGGTTTTATATAAAAATCTTAAGTTTTATAGGCCTATTAAAATAATTGACCTAATAATAAAATTTATTATTTATTATAGAATTCCCGTATACTATTAATTAGAATAACATAAAAATAATATTGTTAAAAGGATTTGAAAGAATATTTTTTGTTTTATGTCTCTTTGCAGACCATTAAAAAAACTAATATAGTAATGAAGCAGTGTTTGTGTTTAACACATTGGAAATAGAAAAAAAAATGCTTTTTTTTTTGAGAAAATTAAAAAAATTGTGAATAAACCATTAAAATTAAAAATATTCCCAATTACATAAATAGGTAGCTATAAATAAATGAATGATTTGATTAATTAAATTGAATTTAAATATGAAAAACTTTAATATTACAATAAATGTGCAAATATTGTTCTATACACATACATAGGTAATTATTAAAAAAATATTTAAAATACCTAAATGATTCTTATTTACATTAAAATCAAATATTTAATTTCAAGTTTATTATTAATTCAAAAATTTATATATTCCCTTACTATAATTTATTTTTTAAAATTAATTTTATTTTTATGTATATTTATTTTCAATATAATATTTTATTAATCCATTCTCGTATTCATCATAAAATTAATTGAAATTTGTGTATGTTACAAATTTTAATTAAAATAAACAAGAAATAAAATATTTAGGTTACATTGCAACTATAATTATTATGAAGAAATTCCAAAAAAAAAAACAAAACTTGAATATCGGACGCTTGTAATTAATTTTCAATTTTAATTGTTTTATAACATTATTTTCAATTTTTTCTGCTGTTTCTTTAAAATAATTGTATAATATGATTACCATAATTATTTTTTTTTTTATTACTATTTGTGTACCAATATATGTATGTATGATTTAAAACCAAATTATTCAAAATATACGATAATTTAATAACAAAATCAATAATTTAATAATTATAATAGAGGTATTCATGTTGGTTATACAATAATTATCATCCACCCTTATATTTAATTATTTTAAAAATAAATTTTTATTTCATTAACAGATATGAAAAAATTTAATAAGTTCAATTAATTTAATCAAAATATTAAAGAACAAAAGATGTATAAGGGCATGTAAACTATTAAAAAAAAACTTTAGTACCTTAAAGCATTAAAATTTTATTTAATCAAATCGTTTTCAATTATTCTGTTATAATTAACAGAAAACATGTTAACAATGGCGTTTTTTTAAAAAAAATCTTTAATAGTATTACACATTATAGCTAATAATAAATAAAAAATATAGAATTTTTCGTAATTGTAAAATAATAGGTCGAAAATCATTTTTGAATATATTTCAAAACAATTTCCAAAAATATTTTTTACCTGTTACATGCGTCTGAGAGATGAAAAGTGGTGGTGTACCAATAAAATATGCAAATTACATGTCCTATACAATAAAAACTTTATTGGATACCTTTTAGAGTAAAATTAGAATTTTACAAATCAGAACTTCTATTTTTGAAAAAAAATTAATTAAAAACCGTGTTTTCAGTGTAAACGAAACTGACCACAAATCATAAATTGCAATATCTTTAGTATTAATGACCTGACTTAAGCAAACGAAATATTTATTTTTAAATTGCCAAACAAAATAATAAAATCTAATTAGAAATAATTAAAATTTGAAATAAAATAACAAGTATATAGTGGAAAATTAGCATATTTACATACTGATCTATTCAAAATTTTATCCACACGTCAACACTGAACAAATAATTATTTCCATTGATTTTAATAATTGATTTAAACGAACCCTTAAATGGGTAAAAACGGAATATTATAAGTAAGCGATATAGTAATTTTGCCGAAATATTCTTTCTCTTCACCTTAATAACATTAAGTTTAAGGTATGTAGCAGGTAAATTCCTAAAAACTAAAAGTAAACTATGGCAACAATCAACAAAAAACTGGCTTAAAGTAGTACAGACAAACCCATTTAATTTTTTTTTGTTACAGCCTATTAAACAGTTATATGTTATGCCTAGCTATTATCCTATAATCCTGTTCATATTATAATTGACAATATTTGTTAATTTATTTGTAATTAGAATAAATTCAAATTTAATCAAAAAGAAAATTAATTTTATGGAATCTAAATGTAAAATATCAACCAAAAAAAAAAAAACTTTACAAAAAAAAAAATAAAATTTTTAATCAAAAAAAATTTCAGAAAAGAGCTATAAAATATATTTAAAAATATTTAATTGAAAATAAAATTGAACAATAAACAAAGAAAAAATAAAATAAATAAAATTTAGGTATATAAAATGAAAAAAGTGAATAACGAATCTTTAGCGCGTAAATAATTTAACAAATTAACAATTAAATAATTAAAAAAAAATTAATTAAAAAAAATTATGTAATAGGGTTGTACATTAAACAATTAGAAAATAATTAATTTAACTTAAAATATAACTAAGATAAATACAAAAAAAATTATAATTACAATAATATAGATTTTTCTACATCTTTTATGTTTAAGACAAAAATATTAAGTAACTAAGTGAAAATAATAGAAAAATAAATAATTTATTAAAAAACAAAAAAAATCAATAACAAATTAGAAAAACTCAAAGAAATATGCAAGATATTTTTTTGATTTAGAGACTAAAAATTATAAGAGTTTTTAAAAAATATAATTTATAAATTTTGGACAAGAGTAAATATTAATAAAATATTATTGGACCTAAAAGAAACTACTGCAGGTTATTATATAGGTTGTTTTTCTATAGTTAGAGGCGATAAGATCCATGCTAAACACAATATTACCGAAATAAAAAAAAAAGCATTGAAATTCACAATGATTTATTTTTCTAGTACCTAAATTAATTATACTTCTTCAAAGCTATTAACTTCTAAATTTATGACATTTTAAAAATATACGAATAATATAGACATATTCATTTTGTTCTACTTTTCTCTATTTGCCCCCATGATAAATTCCAATTGTCTAGCTTCTCATCTTATAAATGTGCGATAATAAATTTTACGGGGTCTGGGTTTTCTTAAATCTTATTAAAATTTTATTCCAAGATCATTTTATTAATGGCGATCGCAGACTTTCTTAGTGTACAAACACTATTCTATTTTCTCCTTCCAAATTAAAAATTCTTCATTCATTAGTTTATACGAGTATGTATATTAAACTTATAATTTAATTCTGTTGGTGGTATTAAATAAATAATAATAAATGATAATTAGTTATAAATATTACTATAAATAATAATAATAAATTAATAATAAATTGTAACATGTGCATATTTAAAAATATTGTTATCAAATCTTTGAAATAATTAAATCTCGTTGACTGAATTCAAGAAAAAATTTTTGCTTAAATACGAACATAT